GCTGCAACTGGAAGGTCGAGTGGAGTGTGAGTGGGGAGAAGCAGGAGCATGAATGCAATTTCCAGCTGTCCAGCTCTGGTGCATCTCTTCACTGGCTAGAAGCTATTCAAATTCTTGCACTCCAGCTGGGGAGTGGAGGATGAGGAGAAGTGGCAGCAGTACAGGCACAGCTGCCATCTGCTTGACCCTGGCCCTGGTGTAAGTGCAAGGAAAGCCCCACCATTAATGTGGGTTGGGTGGTGCAGAGCCAGGTTGTTTTGGCACATGGCTTGTAAAAGGTTGCTGGCTGCTGAGATAGAGGACTGAGAAGGGACCTCATCTGTCACTGAGATTGGTACCCTGCTACTGTGGGCAATGGTGTTTATACAATCTTTTTAGTAAATTTACCAAGTTCTATCTTGATACCAGTTAAGTGTCTGTTGTTTCCCCTTCCCCCGCCAGTTCTCATTGGAAGGCTGTCACTGTTCTGGTGGCTAGAAGCTTTTTTTTAATTTCTAGACTAAATTAATTCATAGACAGCTATGCCTATTTTTCTTCCAACATTGCTCTTTAAATTAAAAAACTCTGAAGTTTACACCCTTAATGCACTGTAGAGAATGTATTTATATGCTGCCTCAAGCTTTCTTAAAAGAAGCTAAATCTTGCATCTGGATCTAATATTTCACAAATTACTATCATAGGTTCTCCTTATTTCATGGTTTCAGGGGGTAGTGGAAGGTTTTGCTTCCAGTGTGATCCAGGTAGATCCAGTAGTGTAACTAAGTGTGGTGGGGGGGATGAGATGGGGGGGACAAATAGCACCAGCCGCTGGGGCCTAAAAATAGCAGTTGCCACCTCTGCTAGCCTGTTGCTGCTGCCCGGTGTTCCCCTGCACCACTGCAGTGCAGGGCACAAAACTGCACCGCTGTACCTCTGGGTAGAGCTCTCTTCACCAGAAGCTTTACTTGACCACTATTGCTAGCTCATCTTTAAAGAAGCTTGTACCCACAGCTTCATGGTTTAGCTGCTACTTGGTACCTAATACAGGGGCATCTAGTCCAAAAGATCTTAGGCAGCTGCCTATATAGCTAATGCTTAAGTTGAGCACTAAAGTTCATTAACAAAAACATTGAATCAATTGATACATACAGAAATACAGCTATTAATATAGCACAATGGGGATTTTTAGCCGTTTCTCTCTTGTAGTGCCATGTTTCATATAATTTTCCTCCAAGAATATTTTGTGCCAATAACCCTGGTGCTTTACAGTAGGGGTCTTAGGAGTCAGCACAGTGTTATAAGGGAAACTTTTGGCAAAGTGTCAAAATTTTTTTCAAGAACCCCCCAGAATCCTGCCATCCTGTCTTGCCCCAGAGACCCCTTTCATGTCTGCTACACCAGATCAAGGACAACTAGAAACATGAATCTCAGCAATTTCAGTTAGCCAGGACTTATACAAGCTTTCCTTGGCCTTGAATACTTAATTTGACGCCCTGAAATGTTGTTTTGAACTTCCCGTTTGAGTGCACTTATTTTTGAACAAATTTTGCTTTGTTACTGATTTTTTTTTTTGCCTGAAACCATGAAATTTTCCAAGTTTTCTCACAATTTACAAGAAGTTGTGAGTTCACATGTAAGTCAGACATTGGTTTATAAGAAATTCATAAATATGAGTGAACTTGGGCTGTGCGTCACGTTAAGAATACTTGGAAGCCAGAGAAGTTCACCAGACTGTGATCAAAAGGTTTTTATGTTATGTCTGATGGCACAATGAACCGGCTTACTTGTTGAAGACTAGGTTGGCTCTCTTTACATACATACATACATAGAATTATGTCATACAGACTTATTCTTGGAAGCCTGTTTAGACCAGGGCATAGAAGTTATTCATTCTGAGGTGACTTCTTTTTTAATATTGTTACTCTTTTCAGCATCTCTAGCATGTTACTGTTTTCATTCTTCTGAGAGGAAAATTTATAGGTGTTATCAGATCCTTCCAAGTGTGCATGTAGAGTTTGGCCACATGCTTAGGAAGAAATTGGATTTATAACAAAGTTGAAATGAATATCAGCTTGCAATTTAGGACAGACACATGAGGTAACTCTCAGTACTTCAGCTTTTAGTGTTGATTCTGGGCTGTAATGTTCTCTGCTGTTGGAAACATACAGATGCTATGAAACACAGACATGGATCTTGGCCAACAAGCTGTGTTCAAAGTCCTGATCATTGGCATTGGTGAATCTGTAATCTCAGGTTACTGTAGGATTCTCTAGAAGTGGTGCAGAGCTAGACTTGTGACTTGTATACAGCACCTCAAACCTTCAGGCTACTGGTGGCATGGTCATGGCATCCTAGTCCTTTGCCATATAAGAGCTTATTGGCAGCCAGCAAAAATTATAATAGCCATCTGAATCATCATCACCCAGATGGCCCTTCTGCTGAGCTTCTGTCTAGAGACAGAGAAAAATAGGGCTGGAGGCGACTTCAGGAGATCATCACCTCTAACGTCCTGTGCAAGACAATAATAATAATAATAATAATATGTCTTAACTAATATATAGGGCTTTTCATCTACAAATCTGAAAACTCGTTATGAACAAGTATTATTCTCATTTTTACATATGGAAAAACGAAGGCATAGAGAGGTAAAATAAATTGCCCAATGTTGCATAACTGATAAAAAATTAGTTTAGACCAGTGGTGCTCAACCTTTTTCCCTGGTGGGCCAGATGGACAGTGCCTAGTCTGGGCATGGGCTGAATGGTGGTTCTGATCTAGCACTCAATGTTGGCATGGCAGGCACCATCAGCCCACACAGATGGGGGTAGGGCCTGAGCCTGACCCCATAGGGAGGGGAAGAGGGCTTCACCTGGTCCCTGGGCCGGGGGTGGGGCGGACACAGTTTAGCCTTGCAGGAGGAAGGGGCTTAAGCCAGCCCTGCAGTGGGGAAAGGGGAACCTGGCCTCGTGGGGGTGCGGGGGGAGGGAGAGGAAGGAAGAGGGTGTGGCCTGGCTCTGATCTGGCACATGGGGCTTGGGATTTGAGAATTTGGCAGTGGGGGAAGGTGGTTATATTAATGGCCACTGCTTCCCTGCTTCCAAATTTCCCAATCCACAAGGAACCCTGCGGGCCAGATATGATGGCCTGTGGGCTGCAGTTTGAGCACCCCTGGTCTAGACTCCTTAGTTCCTGTCTTATACCCTTTCTTTTGGGGCTCCCAACATTTTTGTCATGTTCATCTATACCCTTTGCTTGATCAAACTGGAATTCTTGCAATGTGCTTGTGTCCTGCCTCTTACAAAAGCAGATGGATTTACTTATTTTTTCCCTGTCCAGGCTTTAAATTAATTTATCCCCAAATGGCCATGTTTTTATGAAATGCTTTTTCATATCACATTTACAATATTTCTTTCCAAGTGAAAGTAAAACTGAGTATATAAAGGGGATCTGATCCAGCATAACCTCTGAAAGTGTTCTGAAATCCATTCTGTCTTTAATTGCATGTCTCTTGTCTTGTTTTTCATGTTCAGGGCCTTGAGCCGTTTAAGTTCTGGCTTGAGAGAACTGTACTTTGATGCCTGGTTGATTAAAAATTTTACACAATTTGCATTTTGATCTCTCAGTTCAAACACTACATCTGTGGAGTAGTTGCTGCCACAAAGGGGCATAAAAATTCTGTCCTAGACAACACAGTGAAGCATTGTGCCATATCACACTTGGTTCTTCAGCCCATATCTAAATGTACTTCCATGAAATACAACAATTAATGGTTAGGATACAGAATGTGCACAGAGGAAAAAAAGGTAGGAGAATTAATTAGATGCAAGACAAGTAGGATAATTTCTTACTAGGACATCAAAGGAACTCTCATACATAGCAGCATAGGTGTTGGAAGGCCAGGGCTTACCTCCTCCCCCCTGCCCAAATGCAGACAACCTGGGCGCAGGCTCCGGGTGGCTGCAGTGGAGGGGAGGGGGGACACACAGACAGATACAAGCTGCTGGAGCCTGCAGGCATGTGTGAAGCAGCACCCAGCAAGTAAATGTGTGGACAGGAAGGGCATCAGGGGAGGAAAGGGGCATGAGGGGGCATATTGAGGCTTTCATGGGGTGGGGGGGAGGGTGTTAATGGGGCCCCAGGGTGGATCATTGGATGCTGCCTGGGTGGGTCGTCCAGGGGCATGGGGGGGCTCCAGCTTCTGTGTGCACCCCTGAGACAGGCACAGGGGGCACATGCCCCTCCAATCTGTGCACAGGGTAGAGGTGGGCTGCTGCTGAGGGCTGCACCTCACTGCTGGCGCCCTGGGAGCGGCACAATGCCACGTGCCTCCAGTTGCCAGGCAGGCAGGGGTTTGGCATAGCCAGCGTACAGGAGGCACGTGGTGTCATGCCGCTTCCGAGACACCAGCAGCAAGGTGCAGAGTCCAGCCCACAGCGGCAGCCCACCTCTGCCCTGTGCATAGATCAGGGAGCATATTTCCCCCTGTGTCCCTGGATGAACTGCCTGGGCAGCAAGCTTCCTGTGACCTGCCCCTGTCTCTGCCCCACTCCCTTGATCTGCCATCCCTCCCTCGCCCCTTTCCCATGACAGACTTACTTGCTGGGGGGAAGCACATGTGTACTTGCATGTGTGCATGCTCGGCCCCCACAATTGTATTTTCTTCCTCCGTCTATGCGTAGCAGAGCAGAATGTTAGCTGTTAGGGAGGAGATTTAGGTGCATAATTTTTCTTGCTTTTCGTTATTCTCAGTCAGTAATGTAACTGGGTAAGTGAGGACCAGCTGTGGGTGCCAGCCTAGAGGGATGCAAGGTTGCTGGTGGTGGCTGCTGCTGTTGCTGTTCTGACCCCAACTACTGGTGCTGCTTAGTGAACAGTGCACAGAAACTGCTTGTTACACCTCTGTTCAGTGTTGTAAAGCAATACTTTGAAATACTTCCCCAGGCATATTATTTGACTATCATTTTCTTTCTTATTTGATAAATTTATGTGTTCTGAGTTGGGAATTTTTGTTTGTTTTTTAGCTGCCACAATGGTAGAAGCTGGAAGAGACAAAAAAAATCCAGATGAATTTGCAGTGGCACTTGATGAAGCTCTGGGAGACTTTGCATTTCCAGACGAGTTTGTCTTTGATGTATGGGGAGCCATAGGTGATGCTAAGGAAGGACGATTTTAATGAGAATTGTTCATTAATCCTTGTTTGAAGGTAGCAGGTTTTTAAAGAAGTATTAGAACAGAATTGAAATAGCTTGATTGATGTCAACTCTGAACTAAGTTTGTATATATTTAAAATATTTCTCCTGAAAATCTTTTGCAAAGAATATTTTTTGGGTATGCATTTTGAAAAATCTTGGTATACTGTCTCAATTAACTGAAAGCTACACATCTGAAAAAATATTTTATGTACTTTCATAGATTAATATGTGGGGCAGTTTAAGGATACACTTCGCATTCCATGAAAATTGATCTTGTATTTTGTTTTCCAGACATGTAGCATAATACCAATACTTTGAAACTCTGCGAAGGTATTAGCTACACTAGCTGTAGAAGTTGGTTGATTTTTATCTTTTTTAATGAAAAGACTTACAAAACTTGATAAAATAAAAAAAAAATACTTGACTATTGTAATGCAATTATGCTTTCTTTTCTCATGTACATTTTGTTGATACAAGTCTGTGATACTGTTAGACGTGGAAAAGTTGCCTTTATTAAAGAAAATTGCGTAGCAACTAAACTTTCTGTGTAGGGGTTAGGTTAAGAAAAAACATTTTTCTGAGACACTTTGTTTGAAACCAATTTGATTTTAATGTGGTGTACAACATATAATGCCTAATCTGTTGCTGGGTGGAAAGATTCATTAGAAATGTTTAAAACAAGATCATGAGCTGCTACTTAATTTCTTTGCCATATTGTTGTATAAAAGGTCTCTGATCAGCTAAAGAATAAACAAAAGTTAGTTGCTTCTATTTTATACACCGTTATGCATAATGGCAGTGATCTGGTGCTGAGTGCTGTACCCTATGACTAGTCATGGACTTGTTTAACTTAGTATGAGCACTTTGTTGAATAAAGGCCTTAGTTTCCTTTTTTTGCTTGTATGCATCTTTCATGTAGCAATATGGGAAAGACATTTAAAAACATCTCAAAAAAGGTAGAAAAAAGGGCAAAGTGAATAAAAACATTTTCATGGAACCTCAATTTTTTTAAACTTCTTTTTTTGGTTATTGCTTGAACTTCGTGTTGAAAGTATGTCCTTTTAAAAACACAATTATTTCTTACACATCACTAATAAAATCTCATACTATTAATAATGATTTTTCTAAATGACCTAAATTTATCCATTTGTTTTAACAATTTTCTGTTCAAATAATGGATTCAGTTTTAGTTTTGCGTACAATTGGTTTCATTTTCAGATGCTTAGTGTAACTTCTGTTGGGTTTAAAAAAGGAAGAAAGCTGTTTGTTTTAGAAACAGCTTTCTCATCACATTTTTAAAATGTGTTAGTTTGTATGTTGATCTTAAAACATATAAAAGATTGTTTTACACCATTTAAATTTGGGCCTGTTGGCAGGTGACCTTATCCTTTTAAGACCAACCAGGAAGAGAATGTGGGACCCGAGCTGTGCAAATACTATGTACTTTCATGTGCTCGTAAAATAATTGTTATTCCAAAAATGATATTTTCTAAATTATGATTTTTTTTCTTAACCCTCTCCCCTTTTTCCCACTGTGAACTGACTGTGGAAAAGGTTCTTTTGCTATCTTACTGACACAGGTTGGTATAAATATGGGTTATAACAAATTCTTATGTATACATGCTAATGACTTATATCATTTTTATGCATCACATTTTTTAATAAAAATATAAGATGTTCCAAAAACTACAATGCCTGATGTTGGGAGGTGACTTGTAGCTCTCTGTTAAAAAGTGAAAGGGAAGTAAATGATAAAGATGATTCATTTAGCTTCTAGGCTAGTTTCTTTCAATCTTTTTTTCATTTGTGGACCCCTAAAATTTTTCTAATGGAGGTGCAGACCCCTTTGAATAGTAAGTATGGGTATTCACATGCTTTTGATTGATCATAGTCATCTTTTGTGGACCCCTTAGACATAATCTATGGAACCCTAGGGGTCTGTGGACCACAAGTTGAAAACTAGGAGTGTGCAAAATGGACCCTGTTTGATTCGGATTTGGCCCAAATCAGGGACAGTGATTCGATTAGTTGATTCGGATCACTGTCCCCAATTCAATTCAGCCGAATCCAAAGCTGAAGATTTGATGCTGATTCAGAGAATCAGTGATTCGGACATAGACACAGTTTTAAATGTTTTTGCTACATACCTCGAGGTACCAGGCGCGGCTCATGAATGCTGGGATGGGAGGAGGCCCCCCACGTGCTCAGTGGTGTACTTCTGTTCCACTTCCAGGTTCTTCCGGGTCTGCCAGGGAGCATGCTGGGGGGCCCCCCTCTGTGCCCTCCCTAGCTCTGTGATCAGCCACAGGGGGACCCCAGGTGCCCCCCCCAGACTCAGGAGGCAACAGTTGCTGGGTGCGGGGGGCCCCCCCTGCATGCTCTCTGGTGGACCTGGAAGTGGACTGGAAGTGCTTCTGGTCCACTTCTGGGTCTGCTGCCAAGTGCGCAGAGCCCCGCCCTGCGCTCCTGTGGGACGTTCCATGTACCTGAGCATCGCAGCATTCACAAGCTGCCTGCTACCTAGAGGCATGTAGAAAAAAAATTTAAAGTTGTGTCTGTCTGAATCATCAAATCTTTCCGAATGTCTCTGAATTGATTCAGAGGGTTCCGATTCAATTCAGAGAAATTAAAGGGTCTCCTGATTCGATTCGGATTTGGAGATGTGGCCACAGAATTGGGCCAAATCTCTGCCGAAATGAGTCGGGGACCGAAGCTTTGCACAGCCCTATTGAAAACCACTGCTTTAGACCATGGCTGTCCAACTTCAAAGCCACCGGGGGCCACACTCTGCAAAGGTCCCAGGCCTTGGGCCACACACAGTATGGGCTGCATGCTATCCATGCTGTACAGTCTCCCTGTGCTTACTGGGACTTGCCTCCTGCCAGCCTGTCCTGCCCCAGAAACCCCTTTCATGTCTGCTACAGCAGATCAAGGGCAGCCAGACATGAGTATTGGGGGTTCTGTATTATAACTGCTCACAGGTGAGATGCAGCCTGTGGACTGCTAGTTGGAGAGTGCTGCTTTAGGTGAACGGGCACTGTTTTGTAATGGGCTATGAAAACACCACAGTGACTATGCACTTCAGCCTTCCCTTCAGAGGTATTGGATAGGTACAATGCCACATCTGCAAGAGGGAGAATGAAATAAATTTGAAGAACAAAAGAAACTATGCCAGTGATCTTATATAGGTATTTTCTGTTTTTTGTTTTTTTCATTTGGCTCTTCCTTCAAACAATAGTAGCATTTAATCTATAGACAGTGCCTATATACTGTACTTTTTGCTTCATACAGGTTACCTATTAAATGCCAGGTGGAATTAAAGCTGTTGTTTTTGACTTATTAAGCTCTGGGACCTAGTTATCTGAATGAATGAGTCAATGGAGGTGTCTGAACTGGAGCTGTGCTCATAAGGCAGTGAATTGAAAGGAGCTCACACAGGAGCCTCTGGGAGCTCCCTTAAATTTTGAAATATGCTCAGTGCTTTGCTTGGACTAGTTTCAGTATGTTAGTTGTAAGGGCATAGGGAAATGACGCTACCGTAATTATGGAGCATTAGAAAAACTCTGGGAAATTATGAACTCTTATATGTTTTTAGCTGATGGGTTTTTAATATGTGCTTTGGTGTGGTTTGTTTGTTTTTCTTTTTTTCTTAAGGCACTTTTATATTGTTTGTAAAGTGATCTTGACATGGAAGTAAATTAAAGCTTTATAAAAGATACTGTGAGTGTGGTTTTTTCCATATATTTATAACCAGAAAGCACTAAGAGCAGGGTTCAGCAACATTTAGGAGCAGAGGGCTGCTTTAACAGAGTTTTGCTTCAAGTTGGGGCTGCTTCCAGACCGGCCTGTGCTGTGGCAGCTGCACCCACAGTCACTGCTCTCCCTCCTTAGTGCTGCCACTGCTGCTTCTCCATGCTGCTGGGCCAGTGAAATGTCACAGAAGTCCCTGCTGCCAAAATGCCACAGAATGTGCCTCCTGACTCCAC